ATATATTCGTTATATATATGTATATATACACTTCGCAGAAAGTTAGAGAATGTGTTTTCGTACGAAATGCACTCGCAATAAACTTGAAAATCTATAATATATTTTATAATCTTAACTTAACTTAAAACTAAGACATACGCATCCTACGACAATCCAGCGATCCCACGATGATCCCATGATAATCCAGCGACGATCCTACAATGCCCCCAATAGTTTAGTAAAATAATATCTGCAGTCTAGTTTAGACGACTAAATTATCCAAAGGAAAATTGAAACAATTTTCTAAACTGGACTGTAGGTACTTAGTTCTTAATTTAGTATCGATTTTTAAAAAATTTATCTTTGGAAAATTTTCTTCGAAAATTTTTCAAAGAGTAATTTATGAAAATCGATATCAATTACCAGGTCTCACTACGAGGAAGTGATTACGCATCGAGATTCATTTAACGCTTAAAAATTAAATGTAAGGAAAATTAAATAAATTAATAATACATAAATAAAATACGAAAGATTAAAATTAATAATTAATATAAATGAATTAGAAAAATGTAAAATATAAATAATTGAAATAAATTATAATTAATAATGTTAAATAAATTATGAAAAAAACAGAAGAAAAAATAAAAAATAAAAATTAAATAAATTTAAAAAATTTGAAAAGAAAAATTAATTCGGAATAAAATGATTACTTAAATTAGTATTACAATAGCAATTTATCGCTTGCAATTAATCTCACATTGTGACAACAACGAGGCTTAATTTATATAATATTATGTACTTCTATCTTAATTTATACTTTAATGTAAATCTTAAATTTATAATGTGTAATAAAAGTATTCTCATTTCACTTAAAACGAAAAAAAAAGAAATTATATAATTAATTTATATCTGGAATTGCAATGCTTAAATTCAATATTTTTTATTATGAGATTACTAAACAGAAAAGTTGAAATTCAATATTTGAATTTTATTTTAATATAATATTAATGTCATTATCTTATATCCACTAAAAAAATCATATAAAGATTGCATTTTTCTTTTTCACATTACATATACTATTACATATTAGAATTTTTTTATTCACTATTCACATTAATTTCTTTGAATAAAATTATTTCGATTATTATTTATTATTACAATTTAATTTTATATGAAAATTATTTAATTAAAACTTTATTTTAAACAAATATATATTATTTCATCAAATTAATGTGTAAAAAAAAAAAAATTAGTGAATTTGAAATATTCATTTAAGCATAAAGCAATTGCGATATGTATGCATTTTTTATAGATATATGATATTAATGTGTTATATATTTATATTATATTCATCAATATTAATATTTATTCATATTATTAATAAATGATATGCAGATCAATTACTATTTCTCTCTGCATAAGAATAAAAAATATTTAGGGAAGTGAAATAAAAATAAATATTAGTCAATGATTTGATCGAATAATTTAATAATCTGAAATTCAAATTGATTCAAATATCATTAGTATTTCGGATTTTTTTATACATGTGAAAATAATTAAAAAAGTAATTGTAGATATAATAACACATTCAATCTTTCTAATTTCGAAATCTTATAAAAGTATGTTTTGATTTGCTTCTGTAGATTTCGATAAATACAGCATGTTGAATGAAATACGATTCATTTATGATTTTAAATAAGATATTGTACAATCATCATATAATTCCAAATATTGTAAAATTTGCTATAATTTGTCCGAAATAAGTTTTTATTAAATAACTAATTATATAAGTTTCAATTTACATAATTAAAATTTTTTTTAATAATATAAAAATGTTGCATAGTTACATTACATGATATTTATATACATTGTATATTATTTTATATTGAAATTTATTTAAAATAATCAATTTTATACAAAAAAATATCAATATATTTACTTTCATTTCTGCTACATAAACAACATTGCAATATGATACTGTCATGCATCCAGCTGAGTGTTCTTGCTCTTTCGCCTCCTCGCTCTATCTAACACAAACTTAAAATGCTTCTAACTCCTTAATTAGTCTTATCGGATATGTGTATATGAATTATTTTTATCGTTTTGATGTCTATCTTCCAAGGATATCTCACATTTTTATAAACACTCTGTATATATAATATAACACTGTATATATAACACTCTGTATGCAATCAAATACGACACATATATATGATCCATGTTTTTTATATAAAAACAAATATTATTTCATTTTTTTTCCCTTCATGTCACACCTCAACACGAATCCATTTTGAATCTGCAACAATATGTTCTCTGAATAAATATTAAAACATGTAAATATGTTTAGTAATTTTTTCTTTTTCTAATAATTTTTTTTTAATGCCTCTTTGGATATTCGATATTGGAAAAAAATAACATGATAAAATAACAGAACATAAAGAATAATAGAAACATATGAAAACATGAATTGCAATATTTTTACTTTAAATTAAAGTATTTTCATTTATTTTCTCTTATTAGGATATTTCTATAAGTAAAATACTATAATTTATATTTTAGATTTTATATTATAAAAAAATATTTGATTCATCAATTACATTGAAAATGAATCCGATAAAATATGATTTTAAATTGGTAATATTTACATTTATAAGAATATAAATATTTATATTATTTGACTTGAGCAACAAGTATCAAATTTTTCATATGTTTCATAATTTAATGAAAAGTTTAAAAATATAAAAAAACGAATATATTTGTAGCTGTATACGCCAAAAATAAAGAGAGGAAAAAATACTGAGAAATCAAAAACAAACAGGGAGAATAAAAATTGAGAATTTAATGCCAAAATTGTATTAATAATGATCTCTCTGATAATAGGTAGTTAAAATTAAACAATATGAACTGACAATATGAATCAAATTTCTCATAAATAAATTAATTAACAATATGCAATTAAATGGGCTTAAAAATTTCTAATTTCTAATTATTGAAATTTTTTCTTAATGCACTACAACATTAAACAAATATTAGAATATTGTAACTCACTCTTGATATTTTATTCAGTTATTTAAAATTAGAAAAAGTATCGGTAACCGAATAACAATACAAATGAATGTATTTCTCATATCAGATGAATATCTTTACTTTATGAGATGATTAAAATTGAAGAAATATAAAGAATATGAAATTACAGATAATAAATAATATCATGATATATAATAAAACAAAACACCATATTTTTTGAAATAATAATCACGAGAAAGATCAGAATGATTATGCATATTCTAATAAATATGTACATCAAGAATAAACAGTAAAAAAAGATATTTGGAAATCAATGTCATCTGTAGAGTGAAATTAGTAAAAGAAAGATAGAAAAATGAAACAAATAGGTCACTGTCGCCATCTATTGAACATTTATATAACTACTTAATTCTATCTATTCCTACTTTATCGTGAAATTTATAAACTCTATTAAATATTGTGACAACAAAATTAATTAATATTCCGAGTTTTTTATACTTTTTCTTTCGATCAATTTTATTGTTGAGGTTACTGGTATTATTCATATTGCACATATTATAAACTTTTCAGTCAAGATTTCAATCGTTATTGTTTATTTTAATATAATTTTAATTTATAAAACGATTATTACACAGTCCATAGCATATGAATAATCTGTAATTGTTTTTCACATAAAATGGCATTTAAAATATATTAATACAATTATAATTGAATAGTTGAATCGAAAACTAATATCACAGAAAATAAATTTAATTTTATTTTATAAAAATATATCAATTATTACGTTTACTATCGTTAATAAATTGTTAAAGCAGTGATAAAAGGATAAAAATAATAAAAATATGTCAATTTTTTATCGTAATAAATTATTATGATAAATTAAATTATTAGGATTAGTATAAAAATTTAAAAAATTGAATTATTCCTTATTTTAATCGAAAAATCAGATTTGGTACAATCGGTAAAAAAATATATGTTTTCGTCGAAAATGTTCGATAGTGGCAACAAATTTCCTATACATATGATGCGATAGAGCGATCATTTCTTAACATATTTGACACAATATTTGAGAACATCAATATTTGTTCTGTAATTACACACTCACACACACACACACATTAATATTTGACTCATTTATTACTTATAATAACTTTTTGTCTTTGAATTATTCTCCTCGTAATCTTTATAATATACATATATAATTTTTTGGTAAGCCATTGTTTTTTTTCTACTTCTAAAGTTTTGCTATATATTGCTATATATTGATATATATAAAATTATTTTTCTATATCTTCCGAAAATATTTAAAATTAAATTCTAAAATTTCTAAAATTTATAAAAAGATTATTACTATATAATGAATTTTTTATTTGCCATATTATATATAACAATATCAATAAAAATTCATACAATAAAGAAAGGCCAACGCCTTTTATATTTGCAGAAAGTATATTCACTGAGTAACTTTTTAACCATAAATTTTAAATATCTCAAAAATTATTGAGTATCTGTTATTATAATGATATATTTTTATAAACAGGATGATGAAACTTATTGAATACAATTTCAAATAAATCGGTAATGCGAAAGTCTTGCATTCTTTTGTTAACATCAGTTATATAATATAATTATATAATTATAATATAATATAGTTATAATAACAAACTATAAATTTTAACAAAAATTTAAATGAAATACACAATATAATCTTTGGAATATCACAAAATTAAAAAAATTAAATATTGCACAAGTAGAAGTTCATCAGAAACTGTTTTCCACTAATGAATCAATTTCATTCTCGTCATCTTTGGAATAATTTTTCTTCCTTTACTTTAAATGGTATATGTATCTTTTTCGATATTATTTTTGATATTTTAAATGTATTTAGATAGAATTTAGGATTTTATAATTTAATCTTTATGATAGATTTTTATAATGAAGTTAATTTGCTTAAGATATAAGAATAAATGTATTCCAATTACATCATTTTAATCAAAATTTTAAAGAAAAAATATAATAAGAGAAATTTTATGTATAAAAAATGAAAAAACAAATCTTGTACTTTTTTTTATTTTTGTACCATTTTATATCTATATTATTGTAGTAATTATTTGTGTTATTATTATATTATTATACTATATGTTAGCTTCTATATTTATAAGCTGTTTTGATTTTTTCTATCTTTCTTTTTTATATTGATAGAAATAAAAAAAAAAATGAGGCTTGAAAAATCATATCATTTATCTAATTTGTTTAGATTTGTTATTATATTAAATTGAGAAATAAAATATTTTATATGTTTTTTCTTCATTATGTTTTTTTAATAATTAGTTTAATATAGAATAAAGAATTCAGCTAAAAGTGTTTGAAATCTAGAATTATTATAATAATATTATATTATGTATTATTATATATATATTATTATTATTATTATTATTATTATTATTATTATTATTATTATTATGTATATTTAGAATCAGATTCATGTTGTGTCACTACTTGAAACTAAAAAGAAAACACTTTATATCTTTAGTATTTGTTTTTTATGAAAACAAACACCAGAATTCTTTAAGTATTAAATTATTTTAAGGAATATATGCAATAATAAAATAATTTCATTTTTAAGATTATCCTTATGAGATTTTGAAGTTATATTATATTAATATTATTTAAACTAAATTATTTATATATTTTTTGACATTTTTATAGAGTAGAAGAAAATAAATCCAATGATCATTTACATTAATATAATAGTAGTATATATAATAGTTATTGGACAATAACTACTTCATAAATTTGTATGAAAAAATTTTATAATATTTGTCATATATCTTAACACACAGAAAAAAAAGTGTAATTGATATTTTTTGTTTAATATCTTATGATTCACGCACTTGAATAGGAGAATGACATTAACAAGAAAAGAATTCTGTAAAAAGAGGAAATTCTATTTATATCATTTAAACTTATATCAGAAATTTCTATTTCTTTAATTACTGAGTTATTACGATGTACTCCGAAAAATAACAATATAAAAATAAAAAATAATAAAAATAATAAATAATATAAATAATAACAATTGAAAAATAATAATAAAATAACAATCTTTAAAAATTATGCATCGTATAATTCTCATTATATTGAAAAACAATATATTATTTTTAATAGTGCCATGTTAAATTATGTATTCCATATTTCAAAATTTATCATATGATAAATATATATTAAAGAATAAATAAATAATAATATTTTCCAGATGAGTTTAATAATATATATAAATGAGTGTAAATCATGTATTATATTCCCATTTGCACTTGTGTTTCATATTAAGAAAAATTTTTTAATCTGTATTTTTAATCTTTAATTTGTATACAGCCTATAATTGTTGTATCATTTGGAATTGAAAAAAAGTGAAAGATGAATTTATATTTTAGATAATGATTATAGATGATTCACTTATAATATATAATGAATGTAAAAGATAAAAACTAAAGAATTTATACTTATTCAATGATTGAACTAATTCTCAAAGTATTAGTTGAATAATGAAATGGTAATTAATAAAATAATAAAAGTATCAGGTCAAGTTTATTTATTTATTTTTATAAGTTTTCTAGCAAAAGAATATTACAAAAATATTATAATATATTGTAAAAACGAGATAAAAATGTCGATTTTAATGGTAGTAGATAAAATTTTAGATTAGAGACGAACAATTAGGAAAATTAACACTATTAGTTGAAATTTAGATAGTAGAATAGAAATTACATAATAAAGAACAAATTACATAAGAATAGAAAATACAGTAATAGTAGAAACTTAGATATATAGGAGATCTTGATGGCTATAAGAATTATTTAAGAACGAGTTAATAATAAGTTTTCTTTGATTTTTTTTTTACATAAAATTAGTGTTTTGATGTTGAAAATCAATACTTTTTTGAGATTAACTTTGCTTATAAAATTGTTTGTTTCTTTGTTATTGGATAACTAGTGAATTATTATTTCTAGACTTGTCCTTCTTTTTAGACTGTCGCTTTATTATAAATTATTAATCATCCATTTTATTTATCAAAATTAAAGATCTATTTTATTTGAATGAAATGCCGTATATTGTTCATTATGAATGAATTCGAGATGTAATCTAAGATGAAAAGTTTGAATTCGTCTTAAAAAATGCAAATGTGTTGGTTATATCTTAATTTTCTCACACTTTCTTGGTTATTATACACATTTATTTTTATTATATATGATGTTGACTGAAGATTTTGAAAGTACTTATGTAGTAATAAATAGAATGAAAAAACATTTAATGATAATAAATATTGAAATTTTTGTAATTAAAATGAATAGAGGTTTAATTCTTTATGTATTATGTATTATTTGAATAAATATGGAATTTATTATATAGATATGAAAACTTTGTATAATATAATCATGTGCATTTTTTTTCATTTAAATAAATATATATAACATAAAAATTTTAATCAATAATATTTAATTTATTATTTATATATTATTTTTATCTAGAACTTATGCTGTTAGTCATAATAACTTTTTAGTGCAGTAATTTTCATTTTATATAAAATTTTTATAGAATTTATTTTTATATCACATAAATAAATTGTATGGATTGTATGTTATTTTTCTTTTTTAATTTTTTTCTAGAATTACAATCACATTTTTTCTAGAATTAGAATCAATTCGTTTCTTTATTCTATTCAATTGATCTATCTTCATTATATTTAATTTAGTTTTTTATCTTATGATAGCTTGATTCTTGGAATTTTAGTTTCAGATACTTCGTTTTGATAAATATTTATTAAATATTTATTTTGTATATTCAAATATTAAATATTTGTATTTATAATATTCCATATTTTGAAAGATTCATTGCATTTTCATGAATGGAATTCTTTTTTTTATTTTAATAATTTTTTTTAATGAATTTCATATATTGTCGATTAATATTGTAAATAAATGTAGATTTATTAAATGTATCATTTAATAAATTTATACAATCATTAATATCGTAATTTATATATATATGTATAATTAACAAAATTTAAAATTAAATAAAATTTTTTCATATATCTCAGTTTCGAGTTGATTTTTCTTATTAATTGAAGTGATTTTCAAGCTAATCTATAAATAGAATAGAATTTATCTATTTAGAATTTATCTTATTTTTCTGACTTTTATATACAATATATTTTAATTAAAATAAATCAATTTAAAAATCATTTAAAAATTTTTTGACTTTTGGTATTTACGTATAAACAACCACAATTTGATAAA